TGGTGTATGATGAGTGGTGTATGATGAGTGGTGTATGATGAGTGGTGGTTGAACAGCTGTTGAATGTCCGTAACACGGAAGTTTTGCACACTAAACTTCCTTTGACTAATAGCTTCTTGCCCCTAATAGCGATGCGATGCCACTTGCTCCTTGTATACAGGGATGCCCTTTGTTACTAGTAGCTTCTTGCTCCAAATAGCGAAGCCTTTTGTTACTAGTAGCTTCTTGTTACTAGTAGCGATGCCGGGAGCTACTAGTATAGTTTCTTGCTCCTAATAGTGATGCTACTAGTAGCTCCTTGCGATGCGATGCTACGAGTAGTTTCTTGCTCCTAATAGTGATGCCCTTTGTTTCTAGTAGCTTCTTGTTACTAGTAGCGATGCCAGGAGCTACTAGTAGCTTCTTGCTCCTAATAGCGATGTCCTTTGCTACTAGTAGCTTCTTGCTCCTAGTAGCGATGCCAGGAGCTACTAGTAGCTTCTTGCTCCTAATAGCGATGCCCTTTGTTACTAGCAACTTCTTGTTACTACGGTGGGCAGAAGAAATCCTGCACCACTTTGATACAGCAAGCTGACAGACCGGCAGCCCCGCACCCCTATTCAATGTTGTCATGTCATGCAGGATGGTGGTGCAGGATTTCCATCAATGGCACCTTTGCAGCTTGCGATACCAAAAAGAGCAATGTTAAAAAGGGAGCGCGAGGGTATAAAGAAACATCTGTATGAAAGTGGTGCAGGATTTCTTCCGTCAACAGTAGTAGCCATGTCCTTTGTTACTAGTAGCTTCTTGCTCCTAATAGCGATGCCAGGACTTTGCTCATATCCGTTCCTGCCTTGCAGCCTTCCATGGGAGCACCCGCTGAGACACGGAGCACAGCCCGGCCCTGCGGGACCTCCCAGTACGTCATCTCCCCTTCCTTAGGTGCGCAGGTCACCGCTCAGCTTGAAAAGAGGCCCGGTGGGCCAGGTGCGCATTGAAAGAGGAAGATCTTACAGAGACCCTTTGGAACATGTCGAAACAACATTGGAAAGAGGAAGAATTCACTAAGTCACTAGGATGCAGTTGTTGGAGGATCTCCTGATTCGACTGGACACCTACAGAATCACTTTGGTCACTGGTCTATGTTTTGCTGTGCGCGTTCACTTTGCAAAGAACGAGACTTTCAACGTTGCATTACAGTGAGTTAGGGGTACTTGCGCACCAAGCATCCGTGGGGCCGTACAAGTTGGTCAGCGTACAGTGATGGAAGCATGAGAACATCTTCCTTGGTGCGAGCGTCGAAGGAAGGAAGGACCACGGATGAACACCATCCCCACCTGTAACAATATGTAACAATTAAATCAGCACCATTCGCAGCTGCACAACAGAGTTCGTTTCGTGTTTTGTGGTATTAGGTTGGAGGCCATCGTTATGAGGTTGGAGGGTTTGTTTGTTTCAGGGAAGCTGCCTTGGTGTGCTGAGCTGAAGAACATCACTAGTCACTAGTCCATCTTGGAGGCCCTTCGGTGAGCCGTCAAGTTGAAGATACCAAGCATGAAGTATTCCAGATGTGAGGGCGGATACAACGACTGGCGGCAGACAACCAGGGTAGTATATGCAAAGGGATACTTGGAAAGGTTCCCCCTTTTTTGCAATTAGGATTCATTGTGAGACAGATCAAGGCGGAATGCTTGAAGAGGGGGGCACAGAAACTGTAGTATTAGTAGAGCAAAGTCTATCCATATATGTAGATATATACATGCATGGGGATGAGTCAGAAACCCGTTGGGCATGAGGGCGGGCATAGAGTTGTGTTTTACTTTTCAATTCTGCACCAATTCATGTTTTCTGTTTTCAGAGGTAAATGTCACACTATTTGTGCATGCGCTTTCCTGGACATATTAGCGGACACCGCGAACACCCGGGAGACTACACTTGTTTTGAGATGCTTGAGCAGTCTACTTGTGGACAGGTTGATGTGGGAATTCACGAACCCGACATAGCCTGTTGCGACTCTCGTTGCGTCCGTGGCATCACATCCTTTGCGTCTGCGACTCTCGTCCTTTGCGACCAAGTCTCTGGGTCAAAGAAGGGTTCAAGGCTTCGCCACAGGTGACAATGTCCCGAGCTTTGGAGTGATGCCACCATGTTCCTCATGGGGGTGATCCTAGTGAATGTGAGAAAAAGGGCAGCTGCAAAATGCAAAACAGTGCGAAATACTGATGGATGGGGTAGGATTCGGTGACCTTTGAAACTTCGCGCCATTTCCCTCAAGAACCGCTCAAGACGCTGCGAACCCCGCAGCAAGGCTTCTGCTGTGCTAGTTGATAGCATCACTACAAGCACCCAAGTCAGTCAGTCTGCAGGTTGGAAAGGAAAATAGGGTTGGACAGGTATAGTTCTTATATACCACTATATAAATATATAGACATAAAATATACAGTACAGTATATATATAGTATTGAATAGTACGACGGGTATGTGCGGTTTAGCATGCTTGTGCCCGCTCTCAGTCTGATCTCATGCATAAACCCAAACGTCACTCTCCAAACGGATGAACCGCCCAACCAGGCCAAGCAGCCATCCACGTGGTGCTCACCTGCCTTCCGTTGCATATCCTCCTCCTGAGACCGGCGGAACGGTCCGTGCTCCGTTGAGCTTGGGAAACCACCACGGCTCAGACCGCTGAGCTTCAGCGGAGGGGTGAACAAAAGGTGAGGACACACCTTTTAGAGGGAAACTGCTGGACCAAGTCTCCTAAGTGTGGTGATTGACCAAAAGCATCTTTGGATTGACCAAACTTCCATTAAATGAAAGAAACCTTTGCCAAAATCACCTCATATATGATGGTGATCATGATGCCCCACAGTGGGAGTTGAACCGCCAGGGGGGCCCCCCAACGAATAGAATCATTACTTAAATCCAAAAATCAAGGACTTTCAACAAGGCAGCCCACTTGCTTGCGCAAGGTAGAACTCAGGTAGCTAATGCTACCTTTCGTGAAAACGGGAGCAGCCAAGCGTCTTCCAACTCATCATACTTGTCGAAAATCATCTGCAACATTGAGGGCACCTGGGTGAGATGGTGATGCTACACTCCGCCTGTTCATCAAAGGTCTGCGCAGCGATCAACAGCTAGAGGGAACATTTGAGGCTACAAACGACTCAGATCTCTCCGGAATTCCCCAAACCTCAGTCCTTGGAGATTCCGAGACACCGAGACACTCTCCACCGGTATTCCACCAGTGTCCCAAGTTTTAATTCGGTGTCACTCTCAGTGTTCCAATTTCAAGGGATCAACTCGTGTTGCTTTCATCACCACTTCTTCAGGTTGAGCTCCATCCATGGCGTCCGCCAGTCCCGGACTTCCCGGACTTCCCTCAGCCGAGGAGCAAAAATATGAGCACTGACACAGTTCACATGATCTGGTGAAGGTCCTTTTCCAGGAATCAGTCGCTCCTGGAGTTCTCCATGTGTCTGCAAAATACGATTTCTGTGTTGATTCAGACCTATGGGAGATCATAGTAGTGACGTTTCCAAGCCAGCATATGCAAGACGTGTCAAGATGCCGAGGGTCCAAAAATCCTGCATTTCGGGGGTTGGTTTTGATCCGCATCCCAGAATACAAACCCGACCATGGATCCGGCTTTACCAGTAAAACATAGACCAGCAAATCTGATTCATAGCCCCAAGGTGCACCAAGTCCCTAATTAAGAACACATCAGAAAATCATCCCAATAGCCCAATAGATCCCAAAAGATCCAATTTCTACCTGCTCCTACCCTTAGTGGTTGGTCTTTTCAGTCGCACCGCCGACGACCCCGACGGTCAAACAGCATCCTGCCGCGATGGGGGATGAAAGGCGTGGCAGGCTCGGCGGAGCAGGTACTCCGCGTCTTTTTCTCCACCTGAGTGGCCGACCAATCAGGCATGTAAAGAGGAGAAGCATGGAAAAGCACTGCATTCATGACAAGCTTGCAAGTAAGCATGGGATTGTGCATGATTGTACCCAGTACGGAAAGAAATCGCGCGAGAATGGATGCACAGCAAAAGAGTATACATCCTCGAGGAATTCAAGGGGACCTGACCTGACCTGACCTGACTAGCAGTCTTACATAGTTTTATAATGTTTTATACATTTTACCATGTGCACCAGGAAAGGCCGGCAGGTTGCGTTCGAGCACAATTCTTGTCGCCTGATTGCCGCCCGGCCTGGTGGCGCCAGGATCAAGGCAGCACCCGCTGTGAGCGGCCAGAAAATCTCCCATTCGGAGAGGCCAAAAGTGTATGCCACCTGACCAAGTTGTGATCAAGCTGTGACTTCCAAAAATCGTATGAACTAGCATCAAGACAAGGTCGAAGGGCCAAAGGGATGTTCAGGACCCAAAACTGACTGACAAACAAACCTTGATATTCAATAACAAAACATGCTCTTTTAGAGCCCATGGCCCTGCCTTACTTAATTAAGTAGGCGTCTACTTATTTAAGTAATGGAGAAGTTCGCTACTTACAATTCCACGCTTCTACGTATCACCCTCAAGGAAGCTCCCCCCGCATGAGGGCGGCTTCGGAGCTTCCTTGAAAAAGCGCTCGCACATGCTCGCACTATGGTTCCTAGAATTCAACATCGGTGGAAAGCTTGGCAACCGAAGGGGTTCCTTTACCAAGTATGGACCTCTAACGGTCCGTGTCACTCGTGTTTGGTCCCGCCTTGGAGACGATGCCTTCCCCAGGATACAAGGGCCATCGCTGCTGGAACCAGTGCACTCTATGGACCTTGAAAAGGACAGACCCGAGGCGGGTGCACGGACGCTGGTGAAGGCCGAGAGTTCTCCAAACCGACGCCCGAATCACTGATGGAACAGTGATCTAAAGGCAGGCTTGCCTCGAAGCGCGGGTGGAGGCCATCGCTACTCGGTTGGAGGCCATCACTATTAGGGTGGAGGCCATCGCTATTAGATTTCTTGCTTGCATGATCCAAACGCAGAAGCCTCGAAGCGTGGGGACATTCGTGGACAGTATGTTCTACGGAAGTGGGGATTACTGACATATCACCACTCTGTCTACCCATGTCTGTGTCTGCACACGCACACGCACACGCGCACACACTCTGACACTTGTATTCAGTGAACTCAGTTCCCAAGCTGAGAAGGAAGGTGAAGGAACGGAAAGGCGCATGAGTCCGTAGAAAAGTATTGTTTAACACAAGTTTCACGACAAGCGCAAGTGAAAGCGGCTGCAAAACGGAGGGAAACCTGTTTGGGGGTGGTAGCATGAAGGACCATGAAAGCAAACCGATCAGATTGGACAGCTTGTGCAAAAGTTGGTCGCAGGTACACACAGTTGATCAGACTGTGCATCCACCGACAAGCATAGCTTTGTTAGCCAGCGTTTGCTTGTCGGCCGCTGGCCCCCTGCCTGTAGAAGGTGGTTGAAAAAGGTGGTTGAAAAACAGTGGAAGGAGTAGCGGTGGAAAACCCTTTGTCCAGGGGTGGACACACACACACACACACGCACTCAAAGAATCATAAAGAATCCACATTTGTTTAACCAACAAACGCACATTGAAACTTGGAAACCCGGCATTTCTCACATGTGCCTTGAGGATACAAACCAGAGGTTCTCAAGGACTGGAAGTCATTTGTGTTTGTAACCAATTTGATGTTGCTTCGTGGAACGGCTACGAAGACGATGTCGCTCCGTGGTGTTATGTCTTGGCAGGCGTGGCTTCGCCATTATTTCAAACCCATCTGATGGTCGTGGATTCATGCCAAAGGCAAAGAACAACTATCCAAAAAACATGAAATTGCAGTTTGACCAGGGAGGCCATCAACAGCCTTTGTTTTCTGAAGCTCTCGTACTTCCAACATACATGTCTTGACTTATTTTCACAATATAGAGCTGTTCCACACACACACTTTTCTAGGAGAGTGAAACCACCATGAACCACCCACACCTATGACTGAGACCCAGTCAGGCTCCTCGTCTACAAATCAAACCCATCTTGAACTCCACTGTTTCTATCGGAGAACCTCTGAGAACATCCTGTCTGTAGCCTCACTTGACAATGTCTTCAACCCAATCAGAAAATTGAAAGCTGCTGACGTATCTCTGAATCTACATGAATCTGCCAAATCATGCCAGTCTTTGGACAAGGCGCCAAGCCTTTGTTCTCCACCTGAGTCCGAAAAGGAACAGACAGTCTCAATGCTTAGGTTTGACAAAGCATTTGCGAACCGGTGAACAGCATCCTTGCTCCTAGTAGTGGTGCAAGGAGCCCCTAGTAGCTTGTAGTAAGGCCAGGAGCCCCTAGTAGCGTCCGATCGCTCCTGGTTGTGTTCCGCCAGGTGGCCATCACTCCTTTGGGCTTTCCCGTCGTGCCCGAGGTGAAGAAGGTATAGGCCAATGTGCTGCCCTGGCCTTCGTCGGCCACTCCAGGGCCCTCGACCCGGGTCCTCACATCCAAGACCGAAGTGACCTTGGCGGAGTTTGGACACAAAAAGAGAGAAATTGACTTGGAGAGTGTTTCAGAATGCTCAAAAGCCGGCACCCCAAACCCATTGCAGCATGAGCTCAAGTGAAATTGAACCTGGGAAGCCTGGGATTTATTCATTTATTGATCGCCTTCAATTAATGCAATATACTGTATTTAAATTGGATCATTAATTGGATCACACAAAACGAAAACACATGAAAACACAACGCATTATGCAGCATGAGCTTGTTTTATACCCAAAAGTGTCATGGAGAGCATGTTTGATGGCAGTTGCTCTGATCCGAAGTTCTCTGATCAAGCACTTGCCAGTTGAGCCGTGGTTACTATGGATCCCAAGCAGACGGTGGCATACGGCTACCTGCCAGGCCTTCAGCAGCGCAGTGACCGGGCTGGGCTTTTCACTCTGCTCTTCTTCTTGGTCTCCAATACGGTATTCCGTTGACCGTCTATACCGACAGCCTCTATGTGCACGATGGCTACCAGTTCCTGTGTCGTCTTGGCTACATCCCGGCGCATCGGAAGCACATGGATGTCTGGCATAAGATCTGGGATTGTGGACAGCAGCTCTCAACCCGGTCACGGTATTCAAAGTGGCGGCTCATGAGCACCTTCAAGATGCAGAGAGCCCTGAAGAAGACTGGCTGATCCGTGGCAATGCCTATGCGGACGCAGTTGCTAAGTGGGTCAACCTACATCGACCTCACCAACAGCAACTGGTGCATCGCCGATATGTTGAGCACAAGCAGAAGAGTCTCTTGGCCACTCGAGCTCAGCAGTCCTTTCTGTTGGCTATGGCGGAACAAGAGTTGGCACTGCCTGCGGAAAGACCTGATCCTGGGGATGAAAGCATCCAAGCATCCAACACTTAGGCTCCTGTTTCAGTGTCAAGGATGCGGATGTCGCCACTTCTTTTGGCCCTTTTGAGGCGACCAAATCAATTTTCTAGGCTTTCCTGCAGATTTTGCCACCATCCTTTTGAGCTGGTTGGTGGGTTTGGACATCAGTGCCCCTTTTAAGCGGCATGTCTCTTTTTTGGAACTGATGATCAGCTGTTCCTGAGCCGGACACAGAATCCCAATGGCTTTTGCTGAATCATCTGGAAAGGTTTATCGTTTGCAAAAGGCCATCCCGTGTGGTGTTGCTGCTGGTTTGGATGTCTTTGCGGCTGCTGTTCGTGGTCTGTTTAAAGAGAAAGGGATCCCAGAAAGTTTCCAAACCTCGGCCTCAGGTTGACATCATCAAGTGTTTGGGGGGTGGCCAATTCGCGGCATGCGCGACGACTAGCTCGGCCATGCCTTTTGAGCTCCCTTTAGTGACCAGTAGCCGCCATTTCAAGGCCTCCACTGTTCATCCATAGACCTCTCAGACCTATGGCTGCGCGAGAATATATATATATATACCCAAAGTGACAAGCCACTTCCCTGTGGCCTTTAGTTTAGTTGGGACCAACAAAAACATGGAGATGTCGTGCCCAAGAAGGATAAACCAACGCCTCCAGAAACCCTCGGGTCAGGAATTCAGCCATTTTCCCTAATTAGTTCTTGCTGTCCACTGGGTGGGTCTGAGAATCTGAGAATCTGAATTTTGGACTCAGGAAACTTCAGATATAAATATATATATATAATTAGCTCTGATTGGAAACCATCAGACCCAAACCGTTCTTCCCTTTCAGCTCTGTCTGCGTCTCGAGAGGCTGAAGAGACCCTCCAGGCAATCGCCGACAGCTTTGAGTGACAGTCCGAAGAGGCCAAGACCACCTGCGACCAGGTCGTCGGCGTCCAAGCTTCGGTCGTCCGGGGTGCGTAGCGATGGCCTCCAACCTAGTAGCGATTGGCCATCCAACCTAGTACGCACAGGCAACTGATGGAAAGTGTTGGGACACCCCGCTGCGCCTTGCTGGAACACTGTCTCAAAACATCTTCAAGTCTATCCTCTGGCCAGTGAAGATCAAGTGGTACATAGCCTGAAGCGTTTGCTGAGCTCATTAAGCACAAGTCAGGACTTGAGACCTGATCCAAGATATTTCTGTGGACATTTCTGCAAAGCCAAAAATTGGGTTCCCGTGGACTAGACAGTGGACTACTATATATAGACATGGTTTCACTGACCCATTGCCAAAGTGAAAGGAAACCACAATTTCACCAAACAATCCTAAACTCCAGAATCTGGAGGCAATTCACACAGAGGAATTGACATGCAAGTGAGACATATGTCACTCTTTATACATACATTACATACCCCCTACATTACCATACAAACCTACTTGCATATCTTGTATCCGAGACAAAACTTGAACCCTCGGCGTACCATTTCACGACTCTCGTTTGAAACAATCTCTTCTCCTTTTCTTTCAGACCTCCCATGGCCTCAATCTGCCCAAACGGCCTTGAGATCAAGTTGTTACTAGTACAGTAGCTTCTAGTAGATCTAGTAGCGATGCCCTTTTGTTCCTCTCCCCAAACAACTGTCGATTTCGTTGTGAAGCGCTTGAACATCGAGGGGCCACTTCCAGTCCGAAGAATCCCGAGGATGCCCAGAATCATTTCAACTCCACGGGCCGCCATCAGAGGGACCAAGTTGTCCGGGAAGACCTGGAGACGTCGGGAGACGTCGGGAGATGCGAGGACGGCACACAATCCATCTGTCATGTCCCCTAAATGGAACACATCACTGTGACACAGTGAAACGCAGCTGAGGAACACCGGCGAGTCGTAGAGCAAAGGCCAATGAACCTAAGTCTTCACTCAGAAACGATATCTTCGAAAGTCAAGGTCCATGGTGTCCCGACTCTTGGTGCTGCTTTTGAATTTTGACCCACAACCAAATCACCAAAGCCTATCCATCCTCTTGGGTCCTCCCTTCCCAAGATTGACATCTATTCTCAAAACTCGCCCAACATATTTTGTCTAATGCGCCACATGGGTCAGCAATATCATCTTTGACGACTCCGGGGTCCAGAATGGAACATTTGCCACGCTCGACCGTATTCCAGGGCTCAAGGCCATGCCCCAGGTCTAGTGACGCCAACTGCCAACCATGCTCTCATTTACTGTATCAAGTGAGTCAGGCACCAAGTGCACGCCAAGTGGCTTGACATCTTCAGCAGCTCCTGGCCAGAAGCGTTATTCACAAACCTTAGACAAACCTTTCAAAAGTCTGTTGATATGTTTTGATCTCAGAGTATCCACACGAGCCACCCCCATCCTGATAGGAATATGTGGCCCCGGAAGAATCATCCAGTAGCGCCAGCTCATTGGGGAAGGCTTTGGCAACAGCCTCAATCCTCAGTAAGATGGCTTTTGCCAATAGATGAACTCAGCTCCAACTCCAATCTTGCTGCCCTTCTCAACAATCTGCAACAGTGAACAACGGCCAAAATCCATCAAATGCCAAGAGACATTGAGGAGATTGATCTGTCGGGATTGAAATAATCTTTCGCTCCAGGCATGTAGCAAGAGGAACCTTGGGTGACTTGCAGGCTTCCGCCGGTTGAGGATGGAGGCGAGTACCACAGCCAAGTTGGTTCAATGCAGCCAATACATCTATATATAATATAGTTTTGTTTAATTGTTTTTAAGTAATGCTGACACTCATGCATTACGCATCTCGCATTAGTCCCAGTTCCCCACATGTTCGTTCTGTCCAGGCCGTGCTGAATCAGATCATGCAAGGAACTGAAAGCATCAGCAAAACCAGACACTTCCTGCTCGTCTTCGGAGCCATCCTTTTGAAGTGAATGTTGGCATAGGGCAAGTTGTGGACCCCTGCACACATGTTGTCGTTTTCCACGTGCAATTCGAATTTCGGCCGCCCCCGCTTCAACCGTGGCAAGAACAAGCAATGTGCTTCACGGAAAGGGACAGGTAAAGAATGTCAGACGTACAATAGCTATTTTGCGTGGGTGGCTTGAATTCTCTGTGTCCAATATGACTCTGCTCATCAAGTCAGGACATGGTGTGGGTCAGGTTGGGCACGAAAAGCAAGGGTATTGACGCGGGTCGAAGCTGAAAATCCCTCCAATGTAAACACTAAGAAGGCGCGAAGCCTTTGCCATTGGCGGCACGTAGCCGGGTGATGTTTGGTGTATGGGTACTTGTATGGGTGTATTGAAATCCGCCGACCCCGGTCTAGGATGATGAATGTGAGCGTGAGCGGAGCAGGGCCGGCATGTTCCTGACAGGGAGTCGGGTGAGCGGTGGACGATGGATGCTGTTTCTCCGTCACATTCACAAAAACAAATTGCGCAAATGTTCAAACTCTAAAGTCGCCACCGGCCGTCCTTCTTTTTTTGTCGCGGGAAGAAATGGCATGGGTTTCGATTCCCCCATCACCCTTTTGGATTCAGGCATGGGGCCAGGTTGTGGTGTGGTCTCAGGTGCGCCCCAAAGAAGCGGAAACCTCATGGACCCCGCGCCTCCAAGAAAAGGAAAAATGGTTTACGAAGGCGCGCGCGCGCGACGGGGTCCATGGTTGATGTTTGAGGACGCACCCCCAAATTTATTATAGCCACATTTTTATTGAAATGGAGTGGTCTTTGCGCAGTGCTCGTTTGCAATTCGTCTGTGAGCTTTTACCCGGTCGTGCAAACGTTCTTCCAAAGACCCTTCGTCGAACAAATTATGCTACAGCTGACGAACATAATCCTGCACCGAAGAGCCATGGAAATAGAATCGCCATTTTGTAGATCGATATTGGGACATCGGTGAAGGTTTTTGTTGCTCCATAGCACCTCCCTGAGAAAGACCTGTTCCGTTTCGTGCTTCGAGCCCATCTAGAGAAGATCATTGGGATTGCTCATCCCAAGTAAATGCCAAAAACCTTGTTTCAGGAGAGGATGGCATCCTCAACCTTGCCAGTCATTCGTGGGGGCCCTACATCTTCCGAAGTGGAACTGGGGTTTGGGACTTGTTGCGAAAAAACAATCTACCCACTCGTCCAACTTGTTGCTCGCCGACCGGCCGCGGGCGCTAGCCCCCTAAATAGGAAGCCCACAATGACTCCCTGGCAAACTGACAATTCCATACAAATCCACCAGTCTGCAGTGCTTGGGGGATCTCCTTCCCATATTTGACACAGTGCGACAAACGCTGCGAGCCCGGCCATGTCTGCGAATTCATAAACGTGGTGAGGTGTCTAAGCATCCTGCAGTGGGAAGCAAGAAAGGCATTGGACTCACGACCGAATTAGACCTTTCTCGTACACCCTTGCACATACACATACACACACGGTGTAAGAAATGAACAAGTAATGCGGTTGCAAACTGATGCTGTTTAAGTGTCAGGCAAAGAACAGCAATGTTCACCTTTGGCATGCTCTGGTTGCAGTCCCAGATGCCAAACTGTTGCTACAATTCTCTTCTACTAAGGCAGCTGGATGGTTTCGGAATTGTAGCATGCGTCACATACCCCTCACAAACAATACCAGCAGCAAACCCAGAATTTTGAAAGAAAAGAAACACAATGTTCCATGTATATATATATATATTGCAGAAGTGTGTTTCATCTAAAATAGTTATAGGGAATAACATCCCATATATAAGTCCCGTCTGACGTTCTACGGAAGGGCCGGAGATCCGCGATGAAACCGGGCCAGCCAAATACACCTTGTGTGTGCCGTGGTCTTGTTTGGCCTCTCAAGTTCTACAGGAGGTAGTAGCGTCCTTGCTCCTAGTAGCGATGCCAGGAGCCCCAGTAGCGTCCTTGCTCCTAGTAGTAAGGCCAGGAGCCTCTGGTAGCGTCCTTAGGTACTCGACCTTGCGGCCCTTGCGGCCCTGCTGTTTCTCACATGAACTGCCCAAGCCGCACATTGTCACCACCCGCACCCGGTCCTCGAAATAGTCTCTGGTGAAAAATGTCCCCGCTGGCACCGCATCTCCTTTGGTTGCCCATCTAGACTGAGCAAACAGAGCAAACTCTTTTCGTTGCATCCAACAACTGTAGCATATTTCATATTTGCTCCAAGTTCTTAATCACAGTACTCTCGCGGCACTCGCGACATGCAATCAAGGCTCAAGTTTTGTTTCATGGTTGGAGCGAGGTGGCCATCGTGGGCAAGCCAAGGTTATGGCAGCCTGGCCATTGCACGCTGCTCGGCCAGGGAAATTAGGACGAAAAGTGTTCGCATGGCTGTTCACTCACAGCGAAGTTAGAGTTACAAGTGATGTTGGACACACTCCGCCTGTCCCCATGGCCTTCTGCCTGTTAGAATCAACTGGTGTAATCCTGCGTCAAGGCCTTTACTCAGGCTTCTGCCATCAAGTCTAGTAAGCCTGTTTCGAGGACTTTTCAAATCGTACTTGGAAGATTGATCTCCAAAAGCAAACAACCCAAGGTTCTGCAGGGTGGAAAGGGTCTTGCTTTGCAGGGGTTCGGAAGCCATGGGACTGGGTTTCGGCCAGCTTGTGCGCAGAAACCGCTTTGCGCCAGCAGGTCAGGTGGTCCAAACCAGTGGGTCCAGAAAAGATGGACATGGCCCTAGGGTTTGTTGGAGATACTTCAGCCTGAAAATGATTGTTTGGTTGTTCCGGGCAAAGTTGGTCATGTCTGGGAAAACGTTGGGAAAAATCAACCATGACAAGACATCCTCTGGCAAAAAGACGTTGCTTTGAGCCGTGTCGTGGGACATCTGTCAACGGTTTCACCTGGCTACCACATGGTCGAGTGCGGTGCTGCCTGCTGATGCCTTTGGCGCGTATGGAAACGCAAAGTAAATGTTTTGTTTTGGGAGGGTGGTTTGCCAAAGGCACCAGAAATGATGGATACTTTTACCGAGTTGCAAACAACTTACGTAGCAATATCAACTACAGTGTCTGGATTGGTAGCTGGAGGAAAGGGCGAACGAAACTGATCAAATGTCTTTGAATATTGGTTTGCCAAAACGAAGTAAGCGAGTTCTTGGCCAATTGGCAAAAAAAGGTAGTAAGACAGTAAAGACGGGTACACCACAACCCAATGAGTGGTGGCCTCACCCTCAACACCCAACCCTGCAGCATCGGAATGGGCAAGCTCTACATTCACTCAATATATAACCTTCCCTGCCTGATGCTGCCTCTGCCTAGTAGCCTTGAACACCAAGTTGGCGGTGTGGATGTTCTACGCCGATGCGGTTTGCTTGTGGTTCTTCCGACAAAAAGGAACATTCTCCCATGTGCAAGGAACATCATCGAGCAAAGATGTCCCAAAAAACGTCTCAGCATTGCTGTTTGATCTGAAAAGAGGACAAACATCTCTGACGCTTCCCACCTGTGGACAGGAAACTGGTGGCTCTGCTTCGCTCCCCAGCACCAGGAAAATCTGAAGCGCGAAACAAGAAACTCCAAGTTTCGACGCTCTCGGGAAACAAATCTATACTATCGCTACTAGGAGTTTCTTGTTACTACTAGTAAGGCACTTGTTACTACTAGCGATGCACCT